TTACATTCAAGTCCAAAAATGAGCATTTGTCTTGCCTAGCCGCAAGATACCTTGCTTCACAGAAATGCAGGGGGAAGCTATCCAAGGCACACTCTTGTTCAGCACTATTCCCCTAACACCTATCTAGTATATATAATAATCTCTCAGTATGTACCTATCTAGGGACTACAGGCAAGTAATGGACAAATTATCTTCCTTGAAAGGTATCCCTTCTACTCCTTGTTAAATGTCAGAGGATAGATACTGCCGTAACAACACAGAGAGAGATCTCCTTTTTAATGCAATATATGAACTAGGATCTCACCTGCATTAGAGCCAGATCAGAGTAGGGAGCCTCCTGCCCAAGGGATGACTCTGGCTGCTTGAGGCTGCCGCCTTTCTGGCTGTTTTGCACTTCTGCTAGCATAGAGCAGCTGGACAGTGGACCAAGGGTCTGGTGTGAAGTGTTCTACGTTAAGTAAGCTCTTACGTTGTCAGGAGGTCTGTCCAGCACTGTACCTCTCCAACTAGTGGCAACGTAGTATCAGCACAAGCCATACTAACGTTTTATAGCTGGACTTTGAGCATATGCAGAGCTAGAGAAACTCAGGCTGGCAAGACTAGGAATTTTCTAATCTTTGCTAGTTTTGTGCATGCTATAACTGGCCAGCTGAGCAAAACTGAAATGGATTCTTTACAAGAAGTATATTTCCATGGTCTGGCTGCCTTCAGATGGGATTTAGTCATGGCACTCACTGCCAGTCTTTTAAGAACTAACCTTTGGAGCATGTTTTGGGCTGGTGCATAAACTGCAGGGTTTAATTACAAGTCTCTCATTAGCCCTGCCAAAAGGTGCTGTATATAATACTTCTCTCATCCAGACAACTTGAAGCGTTTCCCCAAAGGCATATAGGAAAAATAATCTCTCAGTACGTACAGACACCCACACACAACTTAATACTTAAAGTAGTCAGACTTTACTCTTACTTAGTTCTCCTTGTGATTAAACCTAGATAGCTTGGTGAGCAGGGGAAGAATTATAACGATTGTACAAGAATTTGGCTCAGTGGAAACATAGACTGACTCATCTGAGACTTGGAACACCAGTTTCTTGGCTCAAGTCAGAGCACTGAAATTAAACTTTAAAAAATAACGCTTGACTTTGGATCATATGCTCTGGATCTGAGGTTGAAATCCTTTTTTTGCTGTTGCATCATCAAACAGGAAAACTGCCTTGCTCCATGGGAGACACTGGATAGATTGTTGTGAATGGCCCATCCCTTGCAGTGTTCAAGGCCAGGTTGGACAGAGTATTGAGTGACATGGTCTAGCGTGAGGCATCCGTGCCCATGGCAGGGGGTTGGAACTGGATGATCTTAAAGTCCTTTCCAACCCAAACCATTCTATGATTCTATGATTGGTTTATTTCTTATCTAGTCATCGCCACATCATAGAACATTGGTAATTGCTGGAGCTGGAGGATAGTCCAGGTTATATTTTTGTGAAACAGAACTAAAACCAGAAGTTGTGCAAGGGACGTTTTTTCGCTCACACAGAGGTAGCAAGATGAATCTAGCTGACTGGAAAAGCACATAGGGATGCCTTAAAAAAACAAGCAAACAAACCAAAAAACTTCGAAGTATTTCCTAGGGAAATAACCCTTTGGTTCTCACCTCTGATCTTTACCTGATGCTGGGTTATTTGCGAAGTTCCTTGCCCCCTTATTTTATCTGTGTGAGTGGGTTTTTATAAAAGCTTTTGGAGCCTAGTATTGATACATTTCAGAAATACCTTTCCCATTCAGCTGAAATGCAGCATCATTGCTGTGTAAAACGTGCTTCTCAGAGACAATTAATTTCTACAGCCAGATGTGAAACTCTGAAAGAAAGAAGTAGTCCTAATGGATGTACTTGCAGGAACCCCCCCTTCTCCCTTAGCTCTAATTGTGTAAATGGCACTGAGATAGTACTGCAGTTGTTTGTCTTTTCCATGAAGCCAAGATGAAGATTAAGGAACCATCTGGCTTTCTGAAAGCTAAAGTTAGCAAACCTCTGGCTTGAAAGAAAAAGCTGTTGGATTCCTGTTGCATGGACTTCATTGTGCTCATCTCCAGTTCAAATTCTAACCACAAATCAGCACTCAGAGCTTTTCCTTCTTCATAAGGGTTAGCATTCGAACAAGCAGTACCATTTCCTGGAGGTCTCTGATAACCTTTGATCTGTTCTTATATTTATGCTCCAATAGAGTTTAAAGACACAACCTGAAAAGTGAGTCTGGTTGGAAAATTTCACAATAAAGGTGGGTTTTTTCATTGTAGAACAGCTTTTTTTCTTTATTTCAGAAACATTTTTGAGAAGTTTTCAAACTAAACTTTTTGTACATCTCTGTCAATCTTGCTATGATGTTTTTACAAATCTTTTTACTTAGTAATACTAGTTCCTAACAAGCATAGAGTGATTATGAATGAAGATTCCATCATAAAGAATTCTCCAGGGATTTTACTGATGAAAATACTGTGTCTGGTTTTGTTCCAGGCAACATTACCACTAACAGAGCCAGAAACCCACTCTCATTTGATTACTGTTGTATAAAATTTAACCTATAAACAAACACCTCCCCTTCTCTCTACCTTTCACCCAACCCCTGTGAGTTAAAGGTGCTATAAAGGATCTCCTAGTCTAAGAGCAAAATATTTTCATGTTTTGATCCGAAGATCTTTCTTTCGTCTGGAATCCATGCATAAAAAAAAAAAAAAGTAAGTAAAATTGCAGGTGGTAGGATGGAAAGTTCAAAAGAAAAAGGTACCTAAATGATAACGTGGATGGTGGTATTCTGCCTGGAGGAGTCCTGGGTATGAATTTAGTGAAATCGCCACCTGTGTTGCTTCTACAAAGGCAAATAAAGTGCCTGGGCATTTAACAGCATAATAAATTCAGGTAACTGCCTGAGATCACAGAATCATAGAATCACAGAATGGTTTGGGTTGGAAAGGACCTTAAGATCATCCAGTTCCAACCCCCTGCCACAGGCAGGGACACCTTCCACTAGACCAGGTTGCTCCAAGCCCCTTTGTCCAACCTGGCCTTGAACACTGCCAGGGATGGGGCAGCCACAGCTTCTCTGGGCACCCTGTGCCAGCGCCTCAGCACCCTCACAGGGAAGAACTTCTGCCTTAGATCTAACCTGAACTTCTCCTGTTTCAGTCTGAACCCATCAGCCCTTGTTCTGTCACTACAATCCCTGATGAAAAGTCCCTCTCCAGCATCCTTGTAGGCCTCCTTCAGATATTGAATGTAGACATCAAATATCTTCTTAACTATGCTTTAGGTCAATGGACCTCACATGGAAAAACATCTGTGCGGAAGGGGCTACTTATCAACTATGGTAAGGTGGGAGGATGTTAGGTGATAAAAACCCATTAAGTCTGGGTCAGCCTGACGCCTGTAGTGATTTAAGTTGGTTTAGATAGTCTTTCTCCTGAAACTTTTTTGTCCATTTGTGCTCACCCAAAGAATTCAGTCTTTTTGCCCACATCTTAAGCTTTCATTAGAGAAAGACTCTTGTCTTTCTCCCTTCTCTCATAGTGAATTTACAAACTGCTGGTTTGGTGGTCCATTGAAAAGGGATTTGCCACAGTGCTCACACACCAACTTTGATTGATTATTCAGGCCAGTTAGAAAGCATAGCTGGTGAACGTGGAAGTCTGTTTCAATAAAATGCTTTTCTGTAAATATTTAACACTCAAGATCCAGACAAGATCCTGCAGTTTCAATTCCCTTCTAGGTGAACTCAAAAGTGCCCCTTTGGACCTAGCAAACTTCAAATGGCTTGAAGACTCTCTGAAGAGTTCCAAGGAGTTCTGAGGAACAAGCATCACTTTTCCTCTTGTGTTGTCTGACCACCAGTGCTGGGTTAAAAGCACTGAGCCTCATTGAGACAGTGGCCTGATAAAACTCACTGTTGTTAAGCCCAGTAGGCCAGTATTGCTGCCCCATCACCCTCAGTTATGTTTCATTCCTGCCTTTCTCATCAGGAGCTCCTCTACTGCTCCCACCAGTATGTGCATGCTTCATCTATGCACAGACCTAAATGGCTCAGGACCACAGGGAGGGAGTCAAAGTTACCCTGAAAGCCATCTGATATCCAGACGTCAGTTCACTCCTCATGTGACAGTAAAAGCTTCCTGATTTTGTCAATGTATGCAAGATTTATCTAGGGAGGCCATGAGGCTGAATTTGGGATTTTGTTCTTTAAAGTTGTAAGCCCTTTTGTTGTCTTTGGGCCAGCTTTAAAACTACTATTTAGCAAAGCATATCATTCTTGCTATGTGCTTCAGTCTTGGCTAGCTGAATTGTATTTAGCCATGTCTGTAAACTGAAACTCTCACAGCTGAAAGTCATTGAGATATTCCTGCAGGTGTGAATTTAGGAATGACTGTCAGCGAGGTTTGGTTTGAATAGTCACTGTTGAGCAACATTGGAAAACAGCCAAGATACAGGCACCAGACACTGACAGGTATGAATTCAAAGCCATCTCAGAAAATGAGTTCTGTAACTGTTGTCTCACCTTCACTGACTGTAAAAATGAGAATGGTAATGTTTGCCTGCAGCAGTTAGTGTTTTGAATATGAATCTGTATTTGTAAAGCACTTCAATGAGGTAAGTTACTCTTAATCCAGGACACCATTTGACTGTGACCATACAAGTACACATAATCCTGTATTTTTACACCTAGCAAAAAAGATGGAGTCAAGGAATCCTTTCTTCCCAAAATACATGACCATGCTTTCATCAGCCAGCTCATAACACAAAACTGTCAGGAGCAAGCTGTGTTGAGATTCCACTTGTCATTTCATTTTGATCTGGACAAGAAAATGTTTTTAATCTCTCTTGTGATTTCCTTCTAGATAAAACACTCCACCCAATGCATATCATAATTTCACCTGTAGTATATTTCAATAAAACCTTTTTTCTGACTGAAGACAAATGTGCTCTTTGTTCTTTTTCACTTTACTTCCCCAGTGCATAGTTTGGGACTGGGATTCCAACGGAAAGCATGACTTCATTGGAGAATTTAGCTCAACTTTCAAGGAAATGCGAGGAGCTATGGAAGGAAGACAGGTAAGTGGAAACTCAAGCAATCTCAACATGGAAGCTTTGTGGAGTAGCATTCCTCAGACAATCCTGTAATAAAACAAGCGACATTACCTCATCTCTCAAAGTTAGTTGCTGTGTTGATCTCTCCCATAGGTTTTACTGTTTCCTGGACATGTTTATCTGAAAACAGAAAAAGCAGCCTTTCCTGTACTTCCATGTCTGAAATACTTAGGGTCGGGTTTTTTTAGTTCACATTCTACAGGCATTTTTTTCTGCTACGATTTATTTCCTTTGAGCAAAAGCACCTTGTTTCTGTCAGGTGCTGTACTGTTATGGCAAAGCAGATACACAGCCTTGGTGCTTGGAGCGTTTCTGTCCTGGCCTAAGGCCTTGATTGGGTGAGGGTCCTTTTCCATCTTTCTCCATTTCTCATGTTATTGCTGCCAGGTCTAACTTGAACCCATCACAATGAAACTTAGCAGTTTCCTAAGTATTTCATGAATTACAGCCCTAAGGGAAGATGTAATTGTTAGCTTATTAATAGTTTCACTTTTTTATGTCAGTCTGATCTTTTCAAATTGAAGTTGATGGTAATTATTGAATATGATAAATGATTTGGCATATCTAATTCCAGAAATTGTCATTTCTATTAGTACTTACTCCTAAAGGGGTTACTTTTGATAAATTCTCTGAGGGGGAGTTTCTAATCTGCTGATAATTTGCGTTCACTGCTTCATGGCGATCTCAAAACCCAAATGCCTACAAAGCTTTATCTGGGCTTTATATTAAGGTTCTGTTTCTAATGTGTTAAGAGGAAACTAACAAATAGTCAACGGGTGTTTAATACATGGTAAACAGTCAGGCTATTCCAGAGGTCAAGAAGTTTTTATGATTCTTCCAGATACTTTCTATTGTTCTTAGAACAACTTGGAGTTTAACAAACATTGTTCATGTGTGTAAAATACTGTTGATGCATCTCAGTCATATATTAAATGCCCTAGAAATAACTTTTGAGCAGAACCTGAGTGGAAATGAAACCTTGTTTTGTTCCTTCAAATGAAGTCAGAGGATCAAAACCTAAAACAAACTGAATTTGAGTGGAAATAAAACCAACCTAAAGAGGTAAACAGATTCCAGAACAAGGCCAGTGATGTGACAACACTCTAATTTGGTATGCAAATACCTGTGGCTGGGAAAGGGACTATGTGAAAGTGGTAAAGGATGTGTATTTCCAGTGTAAATGTCTTCACGAGAGCGTCACAGTCCTTCCCAAACAGAAAGCTTGTTCGCCAAGACAGGAGACTTGCAGTCCACAGCAAGGAATGACTGTGAAGGATAAACTATATATTCTTTATCATGATAGAGAAATGGCGTGCTCTTTTCATCCTCAGCTAGCAAAAGGGATGGATACTCTTTCAGAGGCATAAGGAGTTAGTAGAGCCATTTGTCAATTCTTGTTTTAGGTTGACACTGCAATATCAGAATGCCACCCAGGAATGTTTTAATGTTGCACAGTGCTTTAAGCGCGTGAACCTCTGTCTTGCTAAGGGTCTGCCATTTGCCATTGGGCAGGCTGCCTTTCACCTGTAACACTGCAATCTGCTTTTCACCACAAAAGCACAGCTTTTCTCCTCCACATGCCTAAGGTGTTTCGACATTATTTCTTCCTTGTTGCTCTCATTCTGTTGTTACTGTGCAGTTACTCTGTGGGCTTGCACCTGCAAAACCTGATGCTGCTGTTACAGCCAGTTCTCACAGGAAGCAACTGCCACCAATGTGAGAATCAGTCCTTCTCCCCCCTCCTCTTTTCTAATCTTTGTTTGGTTGTCTCATCTAGAGGAAAACAAGATTTACTGGATAACATAGTAGGTAATAGTCATTTAAGTAGCAAATAAATATTGCCCCAAAATGTATATATACATGCTAGATGGCTCTTGCACCTCATGAAAGCAGGATTCAGCAAGCACTAATAGGCAAGAAATAGCAATAGGGAGTTTGAACAGATCCTGGTGAAAACAATATATTTATTATGGCAGAAGTATTGTGATCCACATACAGGGGAGGTCACTCGTGTGGAAGGCTGTGTCACTTGTCACTTGGCTGAATCCAGAAAGCAATTTCCCTTTCCCTTGCTCTCTTTCTCTCTCCCTCCCTGCCTTGTCCTTTCCTCTTCTTCTCTATTCTCCAGCAGTAACTATTGCTGCTGAAGGCAGTATATTCTGTTAGCTGTGGACCCCATAAGTACATCTTAATGCATAGTTTATCTCAACATCCTTTGTGCAACATTAAATAATGTGATTAGCATTTGTCATTTTTTGTCAGTTTTTTGGTCAGTTTTATTCTCCCCATAGAAAAAGCATATGAAATTGAGTAGAAATTGTGAATTTGAATAGAGGGGGGTTCAGTAAACCTTGAGGGAATGGCAGAGGAGGGAGGAGGAAGGTGTTTTGCCTTCAAGTGAATGTGTTGCTAGGTATTTCTAAAAAGGAGGGCCACATCAGAGAACTGTAATTATATGTGGGTGAGGAGATGAGTAGGTCAGACATAGTCCCATGTTCCTAGAAGAGATTCTTTCATAGCCTCAGACCAGAAAATGTTCTGTTTTCCATGTAGTACTCCTTTCAGTCAGGGAAATAAAACTAACAGCTACATCCTTCAGCCCATGGTGTTAAGCATTCTTTCACATAGCATCACAGCAGTGAGCTATGAAGATGAGGATCAAAACCTGGAATTTTATTGCAGATGCTGTGGAAGCCAGCATAAAGAGCAGGACTTGGATCTGACATCCCCCTTTGAGTTGCTAAGGAGATGCAGTCAGACTTTTCATTCTGGTTATATTTGATTTTGTGCAGTAGACTTTATGGCCAGCTGATGGACATTGCTGTAGTTCTATCAAAAGATAATCAAAGCACCCTAGTGATTGTCAGCCAGGGCTTTTACTCACCCAGGCAACTGGAGAGAATAGGACTGAACATTCATCATTGAGAGGGAATCCAGGAACTCTTCTTAAGCACCAGCTGTAAATCTGTGCAGTGTTAAAGTAGGATACAGCAATGGCGTGGCTCTCCCTCTCTGCCCATCAGCAACATCCCAACTAATGTTGGTATCGCCTCCACAAGTTGTCATGTAGTCACATTAAGCAGTAAGAGTGGAGTTACATAGTCTGTGCTGAGGAGCAGGAAGAACTGTGTGTCGTCTGTGAACTGTTAGTGCTTCTCACCATTTCATCAGCTCACCTCTTCCCTGAAGGAGTTGACAAGGATCTTGAAGTTGCCTTTTAATGTACATAGTGCATCCTCCAGAAAGCACAGAGTATTCTGACCCATACTGAAACCTCCCCCTCTTGGCTACAAGATACTTTTATCTTGTAGCCAGTCTCTTAACTGCTTCAGAACCACTTGAGATGGTCAGAATGGATGTCTGTACTTACTTACCAGATATGATGGTGCCTCTAAAACTGTTTCAGTTCCAGCCCTGCCTGGATACTGATTACGCCAACTTTTGAGCGTCAGCCTCTGATCTGATGAGCTGACAGTTGGCTTGCAGGCTTGCCTCCACTGTGAGATTACTTGGGAATTTGCGTTTGAGACCAGCCATCATTTAGATAAACATTGTGAATCGAGCACTGGCAGCTTCCTAGTGATTGAACGAGTACTGTGTGAAGGAAGAAGAGAAGCTTCCTTATTTGAATGGTTGATCTCGTTTTGATCAGGAATGGTCTGAGTAGTTCTTTTCTAAATGTGACAGGTCTTGGGTGAGATTCACAGATTATGGGTCCTTCAGAGTGACACTTGCTTCCCATGACTGAAAGGACTGAATTGGTCTTTGGTTGGTGGTACAGGAGAATTTAATGCATGAAGACTTCTTGATCCTGACAGCCTCAGGGTAATAGCTTCATGCATGTTTCTGTTACTTTTTTGTCACAGACTGTTATATTCTGACACCTCGCCTGGTTTCCTACTAGCCACCAATGAAAAATGGCACAGATGTTGTTCAAATGCATGTCTGAATCAGGCATTTCTAACCTTTTATTTAACCTTTTCCACTATTCCAAAATTCATCATTTACACCTTCACCATGATCTTGACACAAGAAAATGCAGTAAGAGCAAGTCCATCCCTGTTTGTGATGGAGGGGAGTGTTAGTGAAATACTAGTAAATAGTTTGAGTTTATTGTATGCTCAGGATTTGTTCCAAATATATGTATAATATATATATATTTGATATGTGTAGCAGTTTTATAAAGTGTTCTAATATTGACATAGCAAACATTTGAAAACAAGACAAGAAAAGCTTGTTAAACAATGTAAAAACTATTAAAGCTTTTCATAGCTGAAAGGAGAAATCCTCTACTAATGAGAAAAAGAAAAGTCACCTCTTTTAATGGAGGCAATAAAGCCAGAGGGATTTGGAGGGAGAAAAGCCACAGGAACATAAAGCACCTGGATCCCCATGCAGCACAGTAGTTATGTAAGGGAAAAATCTGTTCCTGGATTATATAAAGATGAACATGTGTGGATATACACACACAAAAGGAAAGGGGAGGAAGAAACCTGCTCTACTTACCATCTCCATGGACATTGCCACAAGTTCAGGTTGTTATTAAGGGGGTGAGGGTGGCTGCTGAGGTGCACAAGGTTGGATAGGGTACTGAGGGGATTTAGTTAGGTCATTTGCCCAGATACCTATGACCCTTACTCAGGGCCTTTGCATCAGGTAGCTCTTCAGATAACTGCATTAAAAGTACCTCTTCTCCCATGATGGATGTCTTTCTGGGACAGAAAAAATTAAAAAACGCCGTCCCGTCC